TCTGTCCCTTTAAACTTTGCAGTAAACAGTGGGAATAGTGTCCATGGGAATGAATGACCGAGGCGGAGCTATTTGTAGAAAAACATATCAGTCATTGGCATGTTTTCCTTTATTTTGCTTTGATGGAGCTTGTATGCTTTTATTTTATTCCGGAAAATTATAAATGGAAGTCAAGCTGAGCTTTCATACTTTGCATCCATCTCCTCCCCTTTCCTCAAACCACCATACTTTGCATTGCAGACTATACAGACAAGCATAGTATTCAAATAAATCGTTGTAGAAATTTCAGTGGAAAAAGAGTTTTTTCCTAATGTTGTTTTCATGTTCTTTTTTTATAACTGAAAAAAAAAGTCATTGAAATCAATTCAATTCCATTTCATAGAGACCTTACCTCGGAATCCTTGACTGGAAATCTTTCTGGGAGGAGCTGGTGGGTTTGAACTGCTGACCTTGTGTCTAGCAGTTCAACACTTACCCATCAGCACCAGCAGAGCTCACTATTGGGTGGTTATGCTGAGGGCTTCCTCTTTGAGCATTCTCCTCGTTTCATACTACAGATAGGAAAGAGGTTGTGGGAGATCTGTTGTTAATTAGAAGTATAAAAGCAGATATTGTAAGAATAATATAAAATAATAAGTTCAGGAGTTTAAGGGATGGATTATAAACAAGAATTGCTGCTATTCACCCTATATGAGCAATAAATGAGGAGGCTAGGGTATTTTGTAATTGAATTTGATTTAGGGCTCCCCACCCCCAATGAAGATAGACAAGATCACTGAAATTATAATAATGTCATGATTAATCGATGGGGAAATTTGATATTTAATTGAGAGATGCACTAATTTTTGTCAAGTTGATAGAATTAAACTAGATGTTAAATCAGTCTCTTGTGAGACTTCTGGAACTCAGAAATGGAAAGGAGCTATTCCTAATTTTATTATTAAAGCAATTATTTTTAGAACTGATGCTAGTGGATAAATATTTCTATGATAGATCATTGGCAGGAGTATATGAAATTCACAAGTATTGCTATTAGAAGTAACATAGAGGCAGGATCTAGAGTTGGAAGATATTTAATAGCTGCTTCAGTTGATCATGGACTATGATGTATAACAAGAGAAATAATAGCAAATATGTTTACTTCAAGGGTTATTCATGCCAGTAGTCTGTGGGAGTTAAGGACAGTGATAACAGTTTCTAAAAATAGGGTCATTAGGATGATAAAGAAAATCAGGGGGGTTATTAATACAGGAAGGAATAAAACTAACATTTGGGGAGTATGGGGTATCTTTTATTTAGCAGTTACTAAATAAAAATATTTAGTAGCTGCTTCAATTATCCTGGATTGTGATGTTTAATAATAAGGAGAATAATGTTTATTTCAAGGCTTTGAAAGGGCAGCAATAACAGTTCCTAAAAATAGGGTTGTAGGCTGATAAAGAAGATTAGGGGGTTATTAATACAGGAAGGAATAAAACCATCATTTTGGGGTATGGGATTTATTCAGCTGACCTTACTATGGAACACGGGAGCACACAGGTTTCTTAATCCTTTGGTTTGGTACCAAGAAATCAGAGAACTGTCTGCTTCTGATTTTTCCCAAGCAGTGAATTCTGCCTTCTAGGCATCAAGGTCGGTGAAGTATGGTATGTGCTACTATTTATGCTTGACCTGCTTTGTTAAGGCACTATAGACACATCTCGATGTAAATGGTTACTTTGGGTTTTGGAGTGGGTGGGAAGTGTTGGCTAGTACCTGTAAGAATCAGGTCCAGTGAACCCTAAGGATAGCATGATAAGATCAGTGTCTTACAAAGACGGGTTGGTCCACGATGCACACAAAGTGATGGAAAGTACCTTGGCTTGGGTCAGCTGCACTGTTGTCATCAAAATTACACCTTTGCCTTTTAACACTTTCTAGATGTCCTTTTCAGTAAAGTTTTCCAAGGCGAGATGGGGTTTGATTTCTTGATTGACGCTTTCATGGCATAGGGTGTTAATCCAAGTAGAACGAAGCTCTTAATCACCCCAGTCTCTGCCATTTAGCGTAGCACTGCTTGCTGGTCCAGTGGTGAAGACTGTGGTTTTCTTTCCGCTCAGTGTTATCCGTTCTGAAGCCAGTTGGCTTTGACCTTCATCTGTAAATGTCTCAAGTGCTCTTCACTTTCGGAAAACAAGATTGTGCCCTCTGCATATCACAGGTTGTCGAGTCTTCCTCCAGTCCCGATGCTACATTCCTTTTCATTTCTTCGAGTTTCTCAAACATTTGTGCAGCATAGAGATTGAATGAGTAAAGTGAAGGGATACAAATTTGCCGCAGGTCTTTTTAAGCCCGAAACCACCCAGTGTTCTGTTGTTCTGTTTGAACCGCTGCCTTTGATTCACATAAAGACTCCACACAAGGTACCTTACCAACCTCTTCAGCAATGATTGAGGCTAAAACTCTAAATCTACACACAACTTGGCTTCTCAAAAGATCTACTTTTGTTTTTATTCCATTTTTCCTCGATCCATCTTTGTGGAACAGGAAAACAGTGTTGTTAGCTGAGCCAGACGCAGCTCTCGAGCCAGGAATCAGGAAGGGGATTAGACGTTGCGATCTTGGCTTTCATTGAGAATGTCCTTACTTGGCACAAACTCACAGCATAAATCTGAAAAATAGACAAGATGGTAGCTGTAGATAAATTTCTCTGGAATTCATTGCAAAACCCTTTATGAGCAAAATTTTATTAGACGGGACAAAGACCAAAAGGCTGGATAGGCCATAGGGTAAAGTCCTTTTTACTGAACTACAAAAAAATAGTTGGAAAAGATATGCATAACCACTAATAATCATTGTATCTACTAGAGAAATATTTTCAGAAGTCTTATGCGCAGTATTACTCCTTTCCTGAAAACCCAGGGTTCTTTCAGCCAAAGATTCTCAAAGACTCAATAATGGGTGGTTTCCTCGGGGGTGTCCGTTGACCTCAAACCTCCTCAGTTGAGGTCAAAAATATCTCCCTCTTTCCTGAACTGGAGGGCATAGTGGTGGTTCATAGTTACTCTGAAGACTTATGGGTAAGATGCAAGCAGTGATTTTTCCTGACTGAATATGCCCAGTATTTTGGAACTGTTCTTAGTAATCCTGAAAACATTCCCTCAACATAGAAGAAATGTCTCAATTATCTGCCCCCCACAACTTTTTAATATGATTCTCATTTCTATAAAGAAGATCCACAGGATGAGATAATTCAAAGTGATTTTTAAAATGTCCTTTTTCTGCTAGCCACAATTTAAAAAAATAGATTGGAGGGTAACAACCTGAGGTTACAGACATGCCTCTTCTTCACCGATGTGTGATACGCTATAAATCGCTTTATCTCTCAGGGCCACAGAGCCCCATTAACTGGGAACTGGTTAGACAAATGAGTTTATGGCATCTTTGCATCTGTTGAAATGCTTGAAACATATAAAAGGGTGTGTCAGGTGTATTTGATTTAAATACAAGGGTTAGCATAATTCGAATACTATGACCCCACTTGCATGAAAATTGTCTCTCTGTGTGTTTACCCAGGTAAAGAAAGACAATTTGGGAGAAAATAATATAATCTATTAATTGCAATTATTTGGGGGGGACATATGATTTGTAGTTGAGAGAGAGATGAAAGTTTCGAGTTTTCATTGTATTCCTCTTCTCTATTGTCTGCTTCTTATTGATATGTGCAAAGAAGGCCGAAGAATACCTTATCACGGTCCTTTCCAACTCTGAATCGCGATACTTTTCAATTTGGCATCTTATCGGATACGCAGACGGCTTGCCTTGCTGATGGCCAAATCTACCTCACTCTACATCTTCTGTTTGCAAATTGATCAGAATGTCACTATTTTGAAGCTGATGCTTTTTTAACGTGGCACAATCTGGTCATAATAAATTATTCCAATTTTGGATAATCTCTCTTAAGTGGAAGCGGGGTGAAAAGCGAGCTTTTGTTTTTTACCCTAGCAGAGGATGAAATAGCAGCTGGAATGCTTAATGTCAGTTACTTTTTGTGCATGAGTTCTATTATCAAAATGCCCTAAATCAGAATATAGTTGCGTGTAAGGCATTTAAAGAAATTCCACTCCAAAGGCATTTAAAGAAATTCCATTAGCCTCACTTGCATGTCATAACTACCTTCCCCGCAGTAGTTAAACTTGAGTAATTTTAATCAGCCATCTCAGGCAAGTGTGTGAGGGCCAAATGGAATGTAATCAAGTACAATAAGACTCACATTTCTGTTTCTTCTTGGGAAGGAGTTCGCAAATTGAAAAATGACTCGGAGATTTCTTCCTGTGCCACCAAACGGAGCAGATCTTTGGCGCTTTAAGCACTCTTCTTGCTGGACAGGCTGGGTGGGCGTCAGCTCCCAGGTCCCATGCTACTCTTGTGTCAGAGGAGTAGGGGCCATCGGGGCACTTACAGGTGACAGAGATGATTTCCACAGGAATCATCATTTAAAACCACTAGTTTTTATTAACGGGGTTTAACATTTTTGTGGAAAAATTCCATTATCTTTTCATTCCATTTGTCCACGAACTTTTTGAAGTCCCCTCATCTATCCAGTGGGAGATGGCCAGAATGATCAGGCTCACGGAGCCACAATTTGAATGAAACGCTAAAGGAAGAGAAGAACGACGTCATCGATGGCAAGCTCAGACACTGTCTCATCAAGCCCTTCATTGTGCACTTGAGATGGAAAGGGGTGTGGAGGAGTCAGTGAAAACCATGGAGCTTGTCGGTGGCAATGCAGAGTCTCGAGCTCAAGTCTTCGGATGTTCATGGCTCAATTCTCCCTCGACAGTGCCATCCCCAAAGCTCCATGTCCTTGCCGTTTGATGGTGCTTGTGCGGTGACGGGTGCTGATAAGCATAATATGATTAATGCATGCAGTGCTCTGAATGTTGTCAGTTGTCAATGAGTTGATTCCAACTCATGGCCAGCCCACTGCGCAGAGTAGAGCCAATCCTCAGGATGTTCTAGGCTGCACCTTCTCAGAAGCAGATCACCAGACCTATCTTCTGAGGTACCTCTGCATGGGTTCAAATCCCAACCCACTAGTAGTTGAACACTTAACCCCATAATACTGTCCTGGGACCCCATCATTCTCCCAGGATGTATGTCATCCAAGGCAGCCTCTAAGCAAGTGTAACAATGTGGGTAGAATTGAGCATGGCCTTAGATGCATGTCCACATATGCCTTCCAGAATACTAGCTTATAGCACATGAAAAATAAATTATGATATTTTAGCAGAACAGGAAAAAAATGGCAAAAACTTTCTACTGAACAGTCTGAAAGGCTGCACTCAGAACTGAGTTCGTTACCACTGACTGTATGCAAATGAACTAGCGGGCACTCCATCTGATTATCCCCTCCAGGATTTCCTGAGTGAATGGAAGTTAGAACTAAACTTCTCAGAAGAATCTGTCTTTAACCTACACATAATGGTGATGAGGAAAAGGATTTGTCTAATGCAACGTTTAGCACACTAATATGATAGTTGCCACAAATGCAGAAACAGAAATGCTAGCAGGAAGCTAAGCGCTATGCAATTTTGAAATACTAATGTAACATAACATGTTCACCCACAAAGTGGGGCCCTGAAGTTGGGGCGAATGTAAAAATTTCACTGGATTTGGTTCACTTCTCCTTGCGTGCTGCTTACACACTGAGTTACATTGGTTTGGGGGAAAACTGAACAACTAACCCCACTTCTGTCAATTTCAACAACTAAACCCAAGCCAATTTCACCTCTGTGGCCCTACAGGGCAGAGGCAAACAGCTCCCCGGGATTTTGGAGGCTACAAATCTTTTTCTTCTTCTTCTTTTTTTTAAAAATCATTTTATTGGGGGTTCATACGACTCTTATCCAATCCCATACATACATCCATTGTGTCAAGCACATTTGTACATTTGTTTCCCTCATCATTTTCAAAACATTTGCTTTTTACTTGAGGCCTTGGTATCAGCTCCTCATTTCCCCCCCCCTCCCTGCTTCCCTCTCCCTCATGAACCCTTGATAATTTATAAATTATTATTATTTTGTCATATCTTACCCATTCCCTTCACCCACTTTTCTGTTGTCTGTCCCCTGTAGAGCCTTGTAATTGGTTCCCCCTTTCCACCCCACCCTCCCTGTCCCCTCCCAGTATCGCCACTCTCACCACTGGTCCTGAGCAATCATCTGGCCTGGATTCCCTGTATTTCCAGTTCCTATCTGTACCAGTGTACATCCTCTAGCCTAGCCAGATTTTTAAGATAGAATTGGGATCATGGTAGTGGCAGGGGAGGTGAGCAAGAAGCATTTAGGAACTAGAGGAACGTTGTATGTTTCATCGTTGCTACAGAGGCTGCAAATCTTTGTGGAAATAGACTACTTCATCTTTCTCCCATGGAGTGGCTGGTGGGTTTGAACTCCCAACCTTTCATTCAACAGTGTAACACTTAACCCTCTGCACCACTATGGCTCATTCACTGCTAAGAATTCTACCTGTGACTCATCTTTTTAAAATTTCCCATGATTAGTATTTCTGGCAGTTCTGGTCATCAGCCAGGAGAAAGGCTCAATTCAAACAGTGGGGCTCATGGAAGAGGCTGACTGGTGGGTCGGAAACAGATTGGGGTCCGTTGAGAAGCTCTCATGCCTTTTTCATGAACATGTCTTCTCTTCTCAGGTTATGTTGACATTGGGCTCATTCCAAAAGGAGCCAGAGACATACGGGTAATGGAGGTTAAGGAAGCTGGAAACTTCCTGGCCATCAGGAGTGAAGACCCCCAAAAATATTATCTAAATGGAGGATTTATTATCCAGTGGAATGGGAACTACAAGCTGGCAGGCACCGTCTTTCAGTATGACAGGAAAGGAGACCTGGAGAAGCTGATGGCCTCTGGTCCCACCAATGAGTCAGTGTGGATCCAGGTAAGAGAGAAAGCAAAGAAACTGCTAGTGTATGAATGTTTTAGGATCTCCTCCACTTTATTTTCCAAAGTCCTCCAAGCTGGAGGACTTTGAGCAGGAAGTCTTAAAGCTAGTTTTGTAGGGTATAGGAATATGGAGAGGCCCTGTAGGACAGGTAGAAATGCCCCGGTGAGTTGCTGAGACTGTAACTGTTTACAGGAGTAGAAATCTCCATGTCTTTCTCCTGTGGAGTGGCTGGTGGTTTTGAACTATGCACCTTGCGGATCACAGCCCAACATGTAAGCATTATGCCACCAGGGCTTCTTAGTGGTTTAGAAAATGCAGAAAGTCCCTTTATGAAATGCCAGGATCTCTAAAGTCATCCATTGTGAAGTTTGATTTTGTGTTCAGTATTGTTCCCACAGGCAGAGGGTCAATCTTTCTTCAGCTATTAAAAGGGTCATATTGATCCATCATCAATCTGACCTGAGTTTCCATAGCTTTCTAACAAAGGTGATGGATGGGCATGACCCTTTTGCATGCTATCATGTGTTTGTCTTCAGACAAAGAGTCTGACTTTGTGAAACCCCCAAAGGGAAGAAGGCGTTAGGACGAAGTGTGTGCTCTTCAAAAGTGCCTCTCCTGTGGGTGAAATAATTACAGAAAAGAAGTAGACAGGTTATACCAGGAGCAGCAAGGTGAGTTGATGATGACAGGTACCCCGAGGCTCGGACACAACCATGTTAGAAGTTTGAAGGAGGTCGTTTCAGAATAGAGGAACCGGGAACCAAGCTTGGCAGCTGTGAGCCACCAATGTCAGGCAGCTTACATGTCCCTGCCCACGTGGGAACGATTTAATTAAGGAGACTTCCAATCCCAAGATTGCCTCTCCGTTGAAATTGGGTAAGTAGACTGCTTTCAGGAGAGAGAGGAAGGCTGCAAGTGAGGCAAACATTGGCTGAAACCCATGTATATGTTTATACCATGTCTTAAAGGAGTCAAGAAGCCAGAGAGTTAAAGAAGGCTAAGACAACAGCAATAATAAAAGTATCAATTATATAATAATAAAAGTAACCTACTAGACATTTTTCTAATCATTTTACATGTGCTTATTTATCCATTTAGCCCTTACAACCACTCTGTTCATAGGGATTATTTTTAGGGGCTCTGGGCTGTGATAAGCTTTGGATTGCTAACCACAAAGTAGGCAGTTCAAACCCACCAGTTGGTTCAAGAGAGAACGATGTGACTTTCTACTCCTCCAAAAATGTACAGTCTCAGAGGCCCTATGTACAGCTGCTATGAGTCAAAATCAACTCCATGGTAGTTGAATTATTATCCTTATCTTATGTGTTTAATTTTTTTTTTTTTTTTTTTTT